CCAGGCGGGTCTCGAACCCGTGGGCTCAGGTAATCCACTCACCTCGGCCTCCCAAAGCACGGGATTACAGGCTGAGCCAACAAGTCCGGCGGCTCACATCTTTAATCCCAGCACTTTGGGAGGCTGAGGCAAGAGAACTGCCTGAGCCCAGGGGTTTGAGACCAGCCTGGGCAACATGGCAAGATCTTGTCTCTACAATAAATCAAAAAAATTAGCCTAGCATGGTGGCACGTGCCTGTAATTCCAGCTACCTGGAAGGCTGGAAGGATTGCCTGAGCCCAGCCAGTCAAGGCTGCAGTGGTAGTGAGTGTGCCACTGCACTCCAGCCAGGGTGACAGAGTGAGAATACAACTCAAAAAAAAAAACAAAAAAAAAAAGAGAGAGAGAGAGAGACACAATGATAGCTAATAAATTGTACTTACTATAAATCACTTAGGACATCAATTTATTGAATTTCATTTATTTTTTATTCTTTTATTGGTCAGTGCTAAGTCCCTTGGTTCTCTAATATTTGTGTGATTTTCAGAATCTGATACTGATACTTAGCCAATTGTCTCCTGGTCACAGTTGTTTGCAATAAGGTTGAGCTGAACAAAGGTGCTTCCAACAGTTCCAAAATATATATCAATATCTCAATTCTTGCTGCATGTTAGAATCATGTGAAGGATACTTTATAAAATACTGATGCCTGGGCCTCACCTTCAGAGATTCTCATTTCATTGTTCTTGGGTGGGGCTCAGGCATCTGTACTTTTAGGGATCCTCAGTTGTTTCTAATGTATAGTAAGGTAAGAACCTCAAACCTATGCAGAGCTTAATAGATTTTGTGGGTTAAAAAATAAATATATAAAATCTTTCCAATTTTTTCTTTTTAAAAGCTGAATCTGCTTCAGTGATTTAAGAAATATTGATTGCAGCCACAAATAAAAGAACATTATTATTCAAATGTAGAATAATTTTTTTCTCTCCAATATGAATTTTTATAGAAAGGGCTGACACTAGGTAGATAGATACAAGATTTTCTTCTTGTTCATATGCTTTCCCTTCTGGAATTCCTCTTTTTGAGATGGACCCTCTTTAAACACCAGCCCCTACCCCAAATTTTGCTTCAATTAGAAGAAAAGAAAATGTACCTGCTCATATCTTCCTACATTATTTGTGTTTTCTTTAGAAGTAGGCTACCTGTTAAGTGGGAAGCCAACACGTTCATAGGAATTACATAATCTTTTTTTTTTTTGGAGCTGCTCCCAGCCACCGCAGCCTCCACCTGCTGGGCTCCGGCAATCCTTCTGCCTCAGCCTTCCAAGTAGCTGGAACGACAGGCGCGTGCTACCACACCCGGCTAGTTTTTTTTTAATTTATTGTAGAGATGAGGTCTCACCAAGTTGCCCAGATGGGTATCGAACCCGCGGGCTCAGGCAATCCACTCACCTCAGCCTCCCAAAGGCACGGGATTACAGGCTGAGCCACCGAGCCCAGCACATAATCTTCTAATATAGCTCCTTAAATCTTTGGAAGAATTTTAAGGGTTATTAAATATTGGCTTTATCCAAAGGAATCACTTTGATAATAGACAAATCAGGTTCTTGTAGGTAGTTTTTAGAAAGCCTCCAGATATGCTGGGCACAGTGGCTCACACCTGTAATCCCAGCACTTTGGGAGGTGGAGGCAAGAGGATTGCCTGAGCCTATAGGTTGAAGACCAGTCAGGCCAATATGGCGAGACCTCATCTCTACAATAAAATAAAATTTAAAAATTAGCTGGGCATGATGGTGCGCGCCGGTGGTTCCAACTACTTGGAAGGCTGAAGAGGAAGGATCACCTGAGCCCAGCAGGTCAAGGCTGCTGTGGCCATGAGCGTGCCACTACACTCCAGCCTGGGTGACAGTGTGACTCAAAAAAAAAAAAAAAGAGAGAGAGAAAAGAAAGCATCCAGACATATTGTCTGCAAGTCTAACCACTGTGTAAGCTAGAATGTGGATTCATTGTGAACCAGGCCACCCAACCCCCTCACCCATCAGAGGTGGAGAGATGGTAATCCCCCTGGAGCAGACACTCCCGCCTACTCATTAACATATTAATTGATAAATAGGTATATCCGGCCTTTTGTCAACAGCAAAAAGCTGGGTTTCTCTCTTACCCATGCCAACTCCTTCTGGCATGTCCCTCTATCTTTCTCCTCTTTCTCTAATAATTTTTGTTTTAAAACTTAAGAAAGCACTTTGGGAGGCCAAGGCGAGTGGATTGCCTAAACCCAGGGGTTCGAGACCAGTCTGGGCAACTTGGTAAGCCCTCGTCTCTACAGTAAATAAAAAAAAATTAGCTGTGTATGGTAGCTTGTGCCTGTAGTTCCAGCTACTTGGAAGACTGAAGTGGAAGGATAGCCTGAGCCCAGCAGGTCGAGGCTGTGCGGTGACTGTTAGCATGCCACTGCACTCCAGCTTGGGAGACTCCAACTCACAAAAAAAAAAAAAAAAAAAAAGGAAGAAGGAAAAAAGAAAATTCACGTTCTATGGCAAGACACAAAGTCAATAAATAATCTATACAAATGATCTATTCTGCCTTAAAATAGAATAATTTACACTGAATCTTTGATGATGACCTTGCCTTGTCACATTCACATTCTAAACTAAAGACAATATTTTTAAAACGTCTTATAAATGCATACCTTATGGTATACATCCTATGCATGTCCCTATAATGAATGAATGAATAAATGAAAAATAAAATATATATCTGAAAAAATTGTGTATTTTGAAAAGGAAACAAGAAACTTTGATTAAGAAAGTGATTGATAGCAGGGCTCAGTGGCTCAGTCTGTAATCCCGCGTCTTGGGAGGCTGAGGTGAGTGAATTGCCTGAGCCTGCGAATTCGAGACCCGCCTGGGCAACTTGGCGAGACGTCATCTTTACAAAAAATCAAAAAATTAGCCAGGCGTGGTAGCGAGCGCCTGTAGTTCCAGCTACTTGGAAGGCTGAGGCAGAAGGATCACTGGAGCCCAAGCAGGTCGAGGTTGCGGTGGCCGCGAGCGTGCCACTGCACTCCAGTCTGGGCGACAGAGTGAGACTACAACTCAAAAAAAAAAAAAGAAAGTGATTGATACAGAAAAAATTGATACATTCTTTTTCAATCTTGGGAACTCTACACTTTTAATAATAAGAGGAATTTAACACCTTTAATATTTATTCATTTGTTTTGGTTATTCTTTTTGTTGTTGTTGGTTTTTTTTGAGTCTGGCTCTCACTCTGTTGCCCAGTCTGGACTGCAGTGACTGTAGCCTTGATCTCCTGGCTCAGGTGATCTTTCCACCTCAGCCCTTCAAGTAGTTAGGGAAAAAGGTGCACACCACCACACCCAGATAATTTTTAAATGTTTTGTAGAGACGAGATCTCACTATGTTGCCCAGGCAGGTCTTGAACTCCTGAGCTCAAGCAGTCCTACTGCCTAGGCCTCCCAAAGTACTGAGATTATAGGCAAGAGCCACTATACCCAACCAATATTTATTTCATATAGATAGAAGCACCAGAAAGTCAAAATTATAACACTGGCAGAAAGATTAGACTACAAGGCATATGTGTCTAAATAGCTTTCAATTTTTAAAGAATATGAACAATTTTAACATCACTATTTAAAAACAAAATTTGTTATTAACTGATTAGTTACATACCCTGGGAGATGGCACTTTGGCCTTGATGTCTGTTCTTAACATAAGTTCAGAAAAAATGCTGAAAACAAAGATATTACTATCTGCTCCAACAGTCACCAAGAAACGGTCATCAAAGCTAGTAGCAAGGCTTTTAATACATCCATAATTATTGTCATGCATACTGAAGTGCCAGTAGTTCACTAAACTGGTCAGGGAAGGATCATTCTGACTTAGAATATAGACTCGAATTGCTCCATTTTTCATTCCACAAAACATCATAATTTGGTTAATGCTATGAAACAAAAAAAAGTAAATTATTTTTCCTACTAATCTGAAAATAATGTTTAATTTTAAATTAATTGACATTTTTAATAACAAAGATGTTATGGACTTAATTGTGTACCCCTAAAATCCATATGTTGGAACCCTAATCCTTAGTACCTCACGATGTAACTGTCTTTTGAGATGGGGTCTTTAAATTAAGTTAAAATGAGAATATTAGGGTAGGTTCTGATCCAGTCTGACAGGTGTCCTTAGGAGATAAGGACACACACAGGGACACCAGGGATGGCATGAACACGGAGGAAAGACCATGCAAGGAAGCAGATATCTTTAAGTCCAGGAGAGAGGTCTCAAGAGAAACTAAATCTGCTGACACCTTTATCTTGGAACTCTATCCTCCAGAACTGTAAGAAAACAAATTTCTGTTGTTTACGCACCCAATCTGTGGTATTTTGTTGTGGCAGCCCTAGCAAACTTATACAAAAGGATAGAGAATAGCAAATGTATTCAAAAGGACAGAGAAGAAAGCCAACTTAAAATTTGGAGTTAATATATTTGGTCTTCAGAATGACTAACATATATGCCCAGTTCTCAATTATTAAAGGGCTAATGATTGCATTTGTGATTTCTCCAGAATAGCTCTAATCCTGAGCATTGATTATCTGACCATGTAGTAGAATCTTCCTAAGTAACAGAAGGTAAATCCATTCAATTCAATTGTAGAATAAACAAAAATTCTGACTATCTGATGAGGGATTTAAATATAATTTCAGGATTTGGTTTGACTCCACTCGTTTGATTTATTTAACCAAATATTACTTGGGTATCCCTTCATTTGAATGGATCTCTAAAAATTGACAATATCCATAATGGACAAAACATAAACACTAATGAGTTATAGGTTTTTAAAGCTTTTTGAAATTCTACTCACTTGAAAGTGATAGTTTGAATAGGATTATCCTCTGTATCCACAAGAAAGCGGAAATCAAAAGGTTCATCTTTCTGTTCCTTGAAATCACTGCTTTCATCATAAGGAGGGAATTCACAGTGATACAGAAAACCAGAATCATAGCCACCCTGGAAGAGACAAATAACACAGAGGGTGGTACTTGAACATAACACATATGAGTACATGATGATTTTTTGATTATTTTAAATTTTAAAACATCTATTTCTACATGATTTCCATGACTATAGATAGATTTCTTTGTTTGTTTTTGAGTTGGAGTCTCACTCTGTTGCCCAGGCTGGAGTGCAGTGGCACACTCACAGCCACCACAGCTTTGACCTACAGGGATCAGGGGACCCTTCCACCTCAGCCTTCCAAGTAGATGAAACCACAGGCAAGTGCCACCATGCCCAGCTGACTTTTTGATTTATGGTAGAGACGAGGTCTCTCCATGTTGTTCAGGCTGGTCTCGAACCCCTAGGCTCAAACAATCCTCTTGCCTCTGCCTCCCAAAGTGCTGGGATTACAGGTGTGAGCCACCACACCTGGCATGGATAGGTTTATTATTTCTATAAAACATCTCCTTTGTCCATTTATATGCAACTATATAATTACAATAATAACGCAGTCTTATAATGATTTGTTTCCACTTAAAAAGCCAATACAAGAGAGAAAACACCTCTTACAACCTACTGAATTCCATTTTATTTCTTCAAGTACTACTCTGAACAAACAGTATTAAATAAAAGGTTTTTGTAGGTCCTTGTTCTTACAGCTAGTTTTCAGACAAGGATAACTTCAAACACTTAATTTTCCAAGAAGGGGTATTTTGGAAAAATTTACCCATCTAGTAAGAAGATAAGTGATCATAAATGGAAGAGCTATATTGTTCCAATTCTAATTTCCTTTCTTTTTCTATATAGACCAGAGATCCCTTATTACAGGGAATAAATTAAAAGCCAGAACAATTTTGTGAATAATAACTGAATACATAAGAAGGAATGTAACAACATGATCACCTTTGAAAATCAAATTACCAAGTTTTTACTTCTGACAATGAACTAGATTATTTCAGCAAAACTCTTTCACCGAGGAAAACCAGGACAATTTTTTTTAAAAATTGTGTTTGAAGGCATTGGAAAGCTTCCAAGACAGCAAGATCCAGAAGAGAGAAAAAGCCAGAAGTGAGCATGGCATTTCTCACTGCTTTTCTCTCTAAAGGAAGTGTCAGTTCTTGAAGAGGTAGCTGAAAGGCTAAGAAGCTAAGGAGGACTATCTGTAGTCTCACAAGCTTATGGAAAAGCAAAGAATTCTCAGGTCCTTCAAGAAGAAGGATCACTGTAAACACACTTTCCACTGAACTTTTCACTGAAATTCCAGAGTGATACACCCTAAGTGTATGAGTAAAGAGGAAACAAACTCTCAGGAAGTGAAGCCTAATTTCAAGTTATCTCAGTCATTGACTGAATTAAAGTGATCTAGGATTTATAGTCGCTTTCCAGAGTCAAAAATAAACCTCCAGGAGATAACAGCAATATACAGAGACTCAAGCTATCTCTACTGTTTTTCACATACTAGGTCCAACACTCAATAAAAAATAATTAGGTATATTAAGAAAGACAAGGCAATTGAAAATTGAAAGGCCAGGCTCGGTGGCTCAGCCTGTAATCCCAGCACTTTGGGAGGCCAAGAAGAGTGGATTGCCTGAGCCCACGGGTTCAAGACCCACCTAGGCAACTTGGCGAGACCACATCTCCACAATAAAAAAAAAATTAGTCGGGCATGGTAGCATGCGCCTGTAGTTCTGGCTACTTGAAGGTTGAGGCAGAAGGATCACTGGAGCCCAGCAGGTCGAGGCTTCGTTGGTCGTGAGCCTGCCTGGGTGACAGAGTGAGACTCCAACTCAAAAAAAGAACAGAGTTAAAATTTAACAACAACAAAGCAATCAAAGCAATCAATTCAAACACGGCAAAGGACTTAAATAGATATTCCAGTCTCAGCTGGGAAACCACTTAGCCCTTTGCCTTTCTACACTTGATTATTCTCCCTCTTGACTTGCCTGGGAACATGTATGATTGTCAAGATGATAATAGATAGCGCAAGTAGACATATAAAAGAGATGTCAAGATGATAGAAAAACAACTGTAATGCACATTCATTCATTGCAACTTCAATAGTAGTTAATAAGTGAAATCTTAACATAAGTGTAAGAAAGAATGTGGTGATAAATAATGACTATAAACTATAAGGTTAAAACAAAAATTATTACTTACCAAAGAAATCCAGAACTTCCCTGGCCTGGAGTAAAATCCACAGAGGATGGGAGAAGGGGTTAATGGAATAAAGATTTCAGGTAATGGCTCCTCTTCCTCTTCCTCCTCCTCCTCCTCCTCCTCCTGGAATTCTTTTTCCCCATCTTTTCCCATCTCTGCTGCTAGCTTCTTCCTCCTTTCTTCCTTTGCCATCTCCTCCAACTTCTTTTGTTTCTCTCTCTTTTCAATTTCTATTGATCTCTTTTAAAAGAAACATTAAGAAGATATGAAAACCACTGTAACTTATTCATTCATGTAAACTATTGGGGATGACAAAAGAGGGAAGATGGTGTTCTAGAAAAATTCATAACTCTGTAACAAACAATAACATTTAAAAACAATTATCAATGTGAGGATATATTTTTATCATTACAACTTTCAAATCACGGGTGTCATTTTTGCTTTACTTCCATTGATTCTGGTTTTATAGAAATTATTTGGTCATTTTTTCCTAATAGAGAAGCTAAATTCAGCTTCTCTTATAGTGTCAACCCAGGAATTAGGTGAACTGAAATAGTCTATGAGGAAAGTCGTTTCCGACTTTAGTAACACTGTGATCTAGGCCTTCATCATTTATCAACTGTTCATTGCAAAAGCCCCCTAAAACTGATATGCCTGCCTTCCCATCTTTTACCTCTTCATCTATATACTTTTCAGAGTTCTTGTCCTTATTTATATTGTTTCATCACACTAATCCCCTCCTCATACCTCACAATGGATTCCAGTGGTCTAAACCAAAATGTCTTGGCTGGCATTTAAGGAGCCCCATGCACTGGTCACAGATTCTTGCTGCAACCCTCTACAATTTGCATCCCTCTATTTTACCAGTCCACTCTTCTTTTCCTGAAAACTCTCACAACTCTGCTCTCTGTCGGGATGTTCTCCCAGGCTTTATTGCCATCCTCCAGATTTTCACTCTCAAAATTCCTACTACTCTTTGAGTACTAAATGTCACTTCCAAACACCATCTTTGACCTCCTCCACCCCTCCATCATAACCCTCTCTCCCTGGGGCACACACCTAAGATTTTGATCTTTGCTCTTTGATGTCAGTGTCTAGTCACCACTGCCTTCTAATAGTTATCTGCTTTCTTACCAGATTCTTAACTCCTTAAAGTTAGGGCCTGTGTTTTATTCTTTTTAGTATTCCCCCAGCACTCAACACAGGGTATTTTATATTTGAAAGAAAGAAAAATATTAGAAGATAATGCTCCAAGAATATTCCATACCAGAATCTTAGATTTGACGCTTGAGAAATGGAAACAGTTTATGCACATGTCTTTGATTTCATAGGAGACCACATGGTCATCCTCTTCTTCCCTTATGGTTGGAAGTGGAGCTTCGAGAACATAGCCGTTTTCACAGATAATTAGTAAAGTACTTTCAGGCTAAAAGAGAAAAATTAAGCATATCATTTACATTTAGGCAAATTTTTAGAAGCATAGTTCCAAAAGATTATAAACCATAATATATAAAATTACTACATATATTAGCCATGTTTAAAAGATATTTAATTCCTCACTGCAGTTACTGATATTAAGTCAAGCTTATTAATAATAATTACATCGTTATTAGTACTAGTGATTATAGTATAATTATTAATTAATAAGGCAATTGTTCAAATGAGATTTAGATTTGGTTCCTTTATAGATGCCATAACATATTTTCTGACCCAAATATATGGTTGTGAAATCTGTTAGCCTAAAGGGCCTTAGTACTGCCAAGGAAAATCTGCAGTGTGGACGGCAGAGTCAGTCTCAGCCTCTTTGCATGGTTCATTTTCCATCTGCCTGAGTTTATTCAATGTGGATGTTCCCCAGGTTTTCGCCCTCTTTCCACTCTTGACTATCCGTAAGTATCTCCAGGAAATCTTACAGCTTTCACTACCACTTAAAGGCAATTAGATTCCAAATTAATCTCTCCAACCCAGACCTTTCTCATGGCTCCAAAACCACATATTTAACTATGAATGGGAAACCCCCATTTTGATATTTTACAGACACATTATTCGAATGTTTATTTATTCAGTTATTTCATTCTACAATTATTTGCTAGGTATCTACCATGTACTCAGCATTTCATTAAGTGCAAGGGGAAAATGATACTTTTTAAAAAAATGTCTAGGCCAGGCTCAGTGGCTCAGCCTGTAATCTCAGCACTTTGGGAGGCCAAGGAGAGTGGATTGCCTGAGCCTTGCGGGTTCGAGACCAGCTCGGGCAACTTGGTGAGACCTTGTCTCTACAATAAATAAAAAAAAATTAGCTGCGCATGGTAGCACGTGTCTGGTAGTTCTGGCTACTTGGAAGGCTGAGGTGGAAGGATTGCCAGAGCCCAGCAGGTCGACACTGGGGTGGCCATGAGTATGCCACTGCACTCCAACCTAGATGACAAAGTGAGATTCCAACTCAAAAAAAAAAAAGTCTAGTCTTTGTCATGATGGAACTTACCTCCAATGTGAGAGCCTGTTACTTAGTAAATCACACAAATACATGTAAGTTATAACTGCAAAAGTGCTGCAGAGGTGCCAAATGAATATGTAGGTTGCGTAAGGCTTTCTGAGAAAGTGGTATCTTCACTTTGAGGTAAAGGATGAATAAATTATAATTCTATAATGAGCTAGGGAACAGTCTGAGGGAGCATACTACGTTAAGAAAACACCATGTGTAGGCTGGGCGCAGTGGCTCATGCCTAAATTCCAGCACTTTGGGAGGTCGAGGTGAGAGGATTGCCTGAGCCCACAGGTTTGAGACCTGTCTAGGCCACTTGGCGAGACCTCATCTCTACAAAAAAAAAAAAAAAAAAAACATAGCTGGCGTGGTGGTGCGTGCCTGTAGGGCTAGCTACTTGGAAGACTGAGGCAGAAGGATCACCTGAGCCCAGTATGTTGAGACTGTGGTGGTCATGAGTAGTGTGCCCCTGCACTACAGCCTAGGCAACAGAGTGTGACTCCTACTCAAAAAAGAAAGAAAGAAAGAAAACACCATGTGTAAATGTCCTGTGGCACATTTGGGCTTATAAGAAAATTGTGGGCTTGGACAGCATCACTTAGGGCGAGGAAACAGAATGAGAAGAGAAACTGGAAGAGCATTAGGGAAACTTAACATTCAATGACTGGGTGAAGGAGACTGAGAAAGAATGACAAGAGGTAGAAGAGGCAATCATGAAAGCATGGTATCAAAAAAGTCAAAGTGAGATGATATTTCAAAAGTAAGGAAAGGTCAACAGGATCAAATGATGCTAGCAGGTCAAGAAAGATAAGAACTAAATATTAAATGGATGTGATTGGTGCTTTTAGAAAAGGCGATTTGATTTGACGGAATAATGGTACTAGAAGCCAGGTAAGAGCACATAAAGGAGAGAGAGATATGAAAAAAATGGAGTCTAGGAGAATAGTTACTCCCTTTGAGAAAGTTGGCTGTCTAGAGAGATGGAGCAGTTGCCGGAGGAGAATATAAGATCAAGGAATTTATTTTCTGTGAGACAGACAAGAATTTACAAGGGGGAACCCAAAAGACCCCATGATTGATTGATTAATTAATTAATTAATTAGAGTTGGAGTCTCACTCCATTGCCCAGGTTGGAGTGCAGCGGTACACTTACAGCCACCCCAGCGTCGACCTGCGGGGCTCCGGCGATCCTTCTGCCTCAGCTTTCCAAGTAGCTGGAACTACAGGCACGCGCTACCACACCTGGTTG